TTCATCCAATGGGGATTTGATTTCTAAGAAAGATGCTCCTTTTTAAAATGTCCAATAAAAGTCAAAATGGAATACAAATATTTCAATCATTTAAAGGTGGGGGTAGGTACGTTTGAGAAACCGGCTCGAGATACACTTTTTGTTATATTCCATGGAATGCTCTTAACATCCCGATAGCAATGAAAATCTGAAGTGCTTTGACAAAAAATCCATAAAAAAATGTCATCTGTTGAAGCCGTAGCGCTGTAAAAAGCACAACCAATCATTTTAAGCCAGCTAAAATAACAGCCTTCCATCTGTGCACAAACTTATCTCGTGCCCTCATTGGTCATGTGCGCGTTCGTGTGTGTTGGAGGAGGGGCTCTGTAAGGAAGTGGCAGATTTTTTCCGTTTGTGTATTTTCAAATTCTAGCGCACTCGAGCTGGTTACTCCAAAATCACTGACCCCACCTTTAATATTCAATTGAATCATTTTTGTTGTCCTTCCAACAGCCTGTGAACAATGCAGATTTCATCATTCCTGTGGAAATAGATGGAACAGTACACCAGGTAATGTTTGCGTCACACACACGATGTCCTTACTGTGTTGTCATCAGTGCCTCACTGCCCTTGCGGTTGTTTTTAAATTGCTGAGTGTAGAAGCTGCTGCCGGTGATTAAGAGATTTGAAGATGGAGATGCTTGACACTCTGTGGGTCTGGGCCTGATTCAAGTAATCCAGGATAGGTTTGTTCAGACAAGCAAAGCCTATTCCGGATGACTTGGTTCAGGAACGCTACCCTTCAGCCTCCGACGCCACGGAAAGGAGAAAAAAATGGAAGAACTTCAAGGAAACAAGTCTTTACTTTAGCAGCCAAATGCTCTCAGTGAACCTATACGAGTATCTTCATATTACGTTTCCAATGATTTACATCCACGACTACACCCATGTGGCACAGGAAGCAAAGGTTATTTTATACAGCGAAAGAAAGCGCCATGGTTCCTCAGACAGTGAAGGTTTGTAGAAACATGTTTTTATTTTGTAAAAGCAGCAGCCGGTTTGATACATTCCTGTGTTTTCCAGGTGTACGTGCTGAAGCGGCCGCATGTCGACGAGTTCCTGAAGAGAATGGGGGAGCTGTTTGAGTGCGTCCTGTTCACTGCCAGTTTAGCCAAGGTGAGAAATACTGCCCTGCTGCCAACTGCTGCTCAGTGTCAATAAGTACAAACCCAAATACTTGTGCACTACATAAAGTTGTAGTTGAATTCAAACTACATTGAATAATTGCAGAAGAAGAGCAACGGGGAATTTGACTATTCACATTTTAAATAATTGAAAATAAGAGGTAGGAAGTAAGAAAAAGTGTCATTGGGAAAAGGTTTTCCAGCAATAGGGTGGGCAAAATGTCAAAAGGAAACTCTAAGAGGTGTGACTTAAATTTGGTAGCACAATAATTACTTGAAAGTTGCCACAAACCATAACTGCTCACGTCCTTTTATTATTGTATTAACTTACAGTCAATTTACACTTATTCTTACAACTGACGTTATCAACCTTTAGCAGCAAAGGCTACACTTTTCTGTGTTGTTTTTTTATTTCTGAAAGCTTGCGTTGGTTTAGGAACTGATCTAATTTATGTGTTTTTTTTGTTTCAGTACGCAGACCCCGTCTCCGACTTGCTGGACAAGAGGGGCGCTTTCCGCTCCCGCCTTTTCCGGGAGTCGTGCGTCTTCTACCGAGGAAACTACGTCAAGGACCTGAGTCGCCTGGGCCGGGACCTAAACAAAGTCATCATCGTGGACAACTCCCCCGCCTCCTACATCTTCCACCCCGATAACGCAGTGAGTAAAACACACCGCACCTGAGTGAGTCATGATCTACAAAATAACGTCGATGCTGATGACTTGCGTTTTCATCCAGGTGCCCGTGGCCTCGTGGTTCGACGACATGTCCGACACGGAGCTCCTGGACCTCCTGCCTTTCTTCGAGAGGCTGAGCAAAGTGGATAACGTCTACACGGTGCTCAAGCAACAAGGGACCGCGAGCTAACGGTGTTCTCATCTCAGCTCTGAACAAAACGGCGTACAGATAAAAAAAAATCACCCACACCGGAGAGGCTCCAGCTCTCACTGCCAACCAGACTGCTTCACAGCTGACCGAGCCTTCACCTCCCCAGAATCACAACAACACTTCTGGGAGTCTTCAGCGACTTCGATTGCGTCATCACTGCCACCTCTTGGTCAAACAGAAAACTCCTCTGAAAATCAGCTTGTAACTTTTCTCCTAGGAAAGCATGGATGAATGTTTTAGGATATTTCTGCAGTGTCACTGAACTTGCTAAATCTGTAGCCATGAATGCTTTGGACACAGACTTGGGTACTGGACTTCTCTCCTCGATGCACAACATGCAGGATTCTGGTAAGCAGGAATCAAGTGAAAAAGGTAGATTTACGTACAAATAAGCCTTGTCGGTCTTGTCATTGAAAGAGAAGATAGTGTACACGTACTGTAGATGTCTGTTTTTGAAAAAAATTCACTTCACACCCTAATTCTTTTCAGGCATGTGATCCCTCTTTGTCATTTTAGAGTGATGTGATCAAGTATTTTTGAATAATCATGACAGTGTTATGGATGAATCTGACAAAAAAAATATATGATCAGGAGTTTATAATTCACTAATATCAAAAGGATTGGACAGCACGAGTTCAGTCCCCCCTCTCAGTGCTATTGAACTGTGGGAATTTAGGTCAGAGAAAATCAATATACTCGTCTAATCCCTTTTAAAATAGTTTTATAAGTGGGAATTGAGCCCTATTAAACAAGCAGTAAGACACTAATAAGAAATCCAACCATCTGCACATTGCTAGACAGTGCTAGGGCAGCTGATTTCGAAAGGTGGTTTGAAGACTGATGGACAGCCAAAATGAGAAACAATTGACCCCAGAGACAAAAGGACCAGGTTTATTTTTCTCTGATGGGTTCTGGTCCTCGTTTTAAAGCCACTGACGAAACTTGAATTTCTCGCAGCACATACAGGCTGTTTTAGCGGCAGTATGATGCAGGAAAGGCCACAGCTTGGCTTGTCTTAAGCTACAAAGTGCATTTTATTTTTCCCTAAGCGGTACACATTGGCTGGAAAGTATTTCAGGACTTTATAATAGAAATGTGTCGAGATTCAAAGGAAAAATCCACACTGTGACACTTTTAATAAACAGCTATTGGTGATTTATTTTTCACCTCTTTTTCTGTTATTTGGATGGATTCGGTTGGATTGACATGCCGTAAAGGTGAGGTAGTTCTAGTGCAGCTACAATTGAGTTTAATAGAGAAAAGACAGAAGAGGTAGACAGTCAAAGTACTGATTCTGCTTATTATTCACTCAAAATCACCAACGGTTATCAAAAAATAATGGTTTGACGGTGGAATTGACTTTGATAACTCATTGACCACATTGGGTCGTACACATTTAAATCTGTATATTTTTATAAGCTCTATAAGGTGATGTTGGTCCAGCAGTTTGTCAGAGCAGTGTTATTTTCCCCCCTCTAATGCGTTGACAATACCATGCGTTGACACCGATGGATGAAGCCGTGGATTTGACGAAGAGCCTCCATAGCAGGGGCAGGGATGACAATTAAATCCGCCATTTAAGAGCTATAACATTATTTTTCTATGTTTAACAAATATTGTCAATCACATGTCTTTCCTAAATAATAACTGATTCATTTTTCTCACCGTGGAGTGGTCCTCTTATAGAATATTTTGCAATTCGTTTTCCAAAAGGGGAAACATTTTTCTTGCTGTTTTTATGCAAGACCTGGTTGGTTACCTCGTATATTAATAGGTAATAAATGCATCAGAAACACCAGCAAATTACTAAAATGATAGCATCATACTGTTGTATGCACATAACAGGGTTGTCATTTTTGGTGTGTGTTTTATGTAAACCTTCATCACATGTCTCAATTAGGTTCAGTGCTTTTGTTTGTTTCATTTCCTTGGCAAACAGGATTATGAATAGGAAGTCATTTTGATTACATATAAACCCAGTGATGTGTCACTACAGGGGCCCATTCACTGATACTGTACTTCTCACACATTCAGTAGATATGTATATTTTGTTTTGCACAGTAATACTGCAAACAAATGTTCATTAATATATGGAATATTCATCTTACTGTACTCATGATTGAATAGATGTAACCTTTCATTTTTCTTGACCTGTTGTTTTATCATACCAAATTTATATAAGGACTGTATGTAATAATGCCATTTCCTCCCCATAAATGCTAAATGAAAGATGGTCCAAGTGTTGTTTTGTTGATCATTTCTTTTTTCTAAAACAAATAGATTGAAAAAGTAGCATTTGTTAAAATGTGGGTGTATAGGCCTAATATATATTTTGTTTAACATAACACATCATAAACAAATATTTAACATTCATTTCTGAATTCCCTATGTTTAATTGACAACTTTTCCCCTGTTAATCACAACATGATAACTAAATATTAGGATTCCATCAAAAATAATATGTTTTCCGGTCACTTGGGGGCAACATAACAGGCTGTAAACAAACATTGTCTGTATCAAGATTAATTAGCTACCTGTCGGCTAACTTGTTAGCAAACGTTTGCCCAGTTACACAACACAACTAGCTGACGCAGAGCAACATTAGCATTCATTTGGAGTCATGTTGATGGGGAATTGATGAACATAAGTTGAATGATTACTCTCATTTTATTTATATATAAACACGTCAGAGAAATATATCTTCTTTCTCGACTAAATTATTTTCACAAATTAGCTAGCCATCCAATAGGTAATTTGAGAAGCATTAGCTAACTGTAGCTCAAGCTAACTAGCTAGCCGCTAAAAGTCTGCCTTCGGTGCGTGTGAGGTAATGTTTACACGTTGTATTTGTATTTTCAACCTCTATTTATTTCCAATTATTAATGGTGAATGCTGTATTAAATGTACCAGAAGCTATGCTTGTAATGCAATAAAACACAGCTTATTTAGCATTGATATTAGAAAACTGTGCCAGTGCATTTTAATGGAACATTCTTTTAGGAACCATATATGACATGTATTTGAACCATGTTATTAACCACTGTTACTTGGTGTTTTATTTTGAGGCGTTTTATCAGAGTACAATAATGTAAAGTCAATTAAAAATCAGGCAATTAAATAGCATCTACATGGTAAAAAAGTAATAACTTGACATGCCTCAAGTTCAACATCCACGGTCTGTCTAACTTGACTGCATACCATCAATTTGAATTACATTCAGAACAGGGAAATGCAAACTGTTTAACATGATGTTTTACAGTTTAAGGTGGCATGAAAGTTTCCCATTTTGCAGTCACTTTCTTTCTCTCACTTTCTTTCTCTCAGTCACTTTCTTTTTTCTCTCTTCCTCTACTTTTCCTTTACAGTGAGTGTGGCACTGCTCTTGGCCTTGCCCAAGGTAAACTTGACCACCCCACTCATGTCCACACTGGTGTTTTTCAAGGTGAGTTTGTGGACCGTCCCGTGGCTTTCCAGGCGGACAGAGGGGCCCGTCTGAAGAGTCTCTCCATTTAAATTCCACAGAGGAGCCTTGTTTATATCTACAGACACCTCACACTGGAAAGATGCGGCCTCAGGCTCGGTTACCTCATCATCCTCCAGCTCTTTCACCATTACAAGGGCTTGGGCTGCACAGAGGAGACAAGTGTTATCATGGTAAGAAATACTAATTCATAATAATTTTTTAACCTATAACAACTCATATTTCACAACTTACCTTCCACCATCAGTTTGGCTTTGGATGTGTGCTCCCCGACCTCGATGGTGTAGGTGCCCTCATCCTCCACAGACACCTCCTGGATCACCAGTTTGTGTGAGCAGTCGTCAGACAGGATCTCAATTCGATCAGAGGAAACCAGCTCCTCACTGCCCTTGTACCAGGTTGCGCTGGAGCGTGGCGTGGAAACGGTGCATTCAAGGATCACGCGGTGTTTCTCCAGGGCCGTTCGATCTCGCAGGGGTTTTACAATAGAAACAGGGAGTTCTGAAGTGAAAGGAAATGTTTTGACACTTTTTAATTGGACACTTATTAAGATGACAACATCCTAGAACAATTCAACTTTAAAGTAAAATATTAATCTCATATGAACTTACCTTCTACTTCGAGGTAAGCTGTAGATTCAACATCCTTGGCTACAAAGCGGACTTCCCCAGCATCCTCAGCTTTGACGTTACACATCAGAAGGAAGTGTTTGGACCCTGAAGGTGAAAAAAATACATAGATTATTTTTGCTTTCTGTTTTTTCACAGACCTTGCAATTTACCATTTGCCCACCAGAGGTCAGCCTACACCCTATAATCACTAGTCCAGTAACATTACATTACATTACATTGCATTTCCCTATTTTAGTTTTGATCCGTTATTTATGATACCATATTCTTGTTATCTCACTTGTCTAACTCTACCTACTACATTTAGATATTAATCACAACACATTAGGTACTATTTAAGTTATTTCTCAATCTTATTGAAATGAGTCAGTCCTATCTATAATAAAAACCATCCTTTGTTACCTTCAGTGCGGATCTTGATGGTGCTTGTGGGCCGGATCTTGTGGCCTTCTTTGAACCACTCCCCAGGGACCTCCTCCAGAGAAACCTCACACATGAAGACAGCATTCTGGTCCTCCTGAATGTAAAGGTCCTCCAGATTGTGCACTATCTCCAACTTATGCTCTGCGAGGTGAGTAAAGAGATATAAGAATCCACATAATCTTTCTCATCCTGTAGAGGGAGATATTTTATAAGCTAAAAACGAATTTGCAGTGTCTAGACACACAACCCTTAGAATAACCCTGAGAAGATAAATGTCAAGACGTTTGTTTTACGTTGCCTTGTCGCTTTAAATAGTTTTTAATATTTCATGTCATGTGTTTTGTTGCAGCTCCTGTTACTAACCATTAACCTCCAGTGAACAGGAAGTGTTGATTTCCCCCGTGTCACATGTGTATGTTCCAGAGTCAGCCCGGGTGCACTGCATGATCTGACAGAACCGCTTCCGGCCCATGGAGTAGATCCGACAGTTCTTCCCCGCCTTCAGCTCCTTCCCGTCCTGATTCACAGAAGCAAAGAAACCCAGGTATTCCTCCTTCATCGAAAATGATCTCAGTACATCTGTTTTTAAATTGATATTTTCTACAGAATTGAAACATATCACTTTTTGTTTATTTGTTTTCATTGATATCAAGCAGGAATTATTATAGAAAAGGTTTTTAGAAACACATTTCTTTAAATTATTTTGTCTTAGATGAACACATATACATCAATAGCTCCGTGAGACTCCGTCACATCTTACATTTCTCTGCAATAAGCCAAACCATAGACTTGTTTTACCTTAAGCCATTTGACTTCGATGTTTTGTCTGGAGAATTCACACTCCAGAGTGACTGGCAACTCCTCCTCCACACTGACATCAGTTAGCAATTTCAGTAAAGACACCGGAGTCTCTGTTCATTTAACAAAATCAATCAATGAGCCAATGAAATAACACTTAGAAAACTTAGAAATTGACCCCTCATATTTTTGGGTTATTTAAACATTTAGATAAAGTTGGTTTCAAGGCCAGAATTTACCTTTGATGGTGAGCCTAGCGCTGGTGCGCGCCCCTTCAGCTGTGAAGACAATAGTGCCCGTGTCCTCCAGGGAGAGGTTGGACAGGGTGAGGCTGTGGACCAGGCCATTGGTGCTTACCCTCCACTGGTTGTTCGCTTTCACCCTGATGCCATCCTTCTGCCAGATTCCCTCCACATCTGTGTGGGATAGCTCCACCTCAAAGGAAGCAGTCTCTCGTTCTAAGGTTTCTTGGTCAGTCAGGCCTTTACGGATGGTGATTTTACGTGCTGGATTGGAAGACATAAGGACGAGTTATTTAGCGAGAGGAGTGAAAACATTATGTAGTGGAACCAGTTGAGTTTATAGCATCACAACTCCATGGTCCATTATCACAGTGTCATGCAGGACACATTGAATGGCTGTTTTTCAAAAACCTTTTCACACATACAGGTCGAGCCCGGCTATTCTTAGTATCTGTTTGCACTGTGACATACTGTGAAAAGCACCTCCTATATGTACTGTTATCTTGTTGCCTAGATCTCACCTGTTTCCTTTTCCAAACATTAGAAAGGATTCTGTCTGTTAGTTCTGAAACAACTAGAAGATTGATCTGTTTGTCATCCTCATCGTGCCCCGGATCACTTACGTTCTACATTGAGCTTGACCTGCGTCCGGTCATGCAGAGTCTCGCAGCGGTAGGTTCCCCTGTCTGACAGGTTCAGGTTTTGGATGCTGAGACTGCGTTTACAGCCGTTCTGGGCCAGCGTGTGTCGGGGACCAGGCTGGATGACCACTCCTTGCCTCATCCACTGAACCTCTCCCGTCTCCAGGCTGATCTCTGTCTCCAAGGTGGCGTCTCCAAACTCTTCCGCCATGACGGCCTCCATTTTCTTTATAAACATGACCTGAGCCTCTGAACATTATGAGGAGACACAGAAATACAGGTTACATTGAACTGCTGCTTTGTGTTAATACTCTCTTTTCCTCTCATTAAATAGTTACCCTGAACTTTGAGGCTGGCTTTGCTCATTTGTCCCTCCGCCTCTGCTGTAATCTTAGAACAGTCCAAAATCTGGCACTTCTTGATGAACAAGGTGTGACACAGGCCGTTCTGGTTTGCCTGGAAACGATCACCCAGCGTGATTGGCTCATTGTCTAAGAGCCAGACCAGCTGGATATCCTCAGGGGACACCACACACTTGAACGTAGCATCTTCTCCTTCTAGCACAGTGGTGTTGTGGAGCTCTGTGAGGAACTCCACTACTCTTGGCACTGAAGAAACATACAAAAAGTGAATGACCATGCTTGCTCTCTTAAGAAAAGACAGACATTCTGATCACAGGCAAAACTTACTCTCAACTCTCAGCATTGCCACGCTCCGGTCATCTTTGGACTCACAGGCATACTCTCCAGCATCCTCTTTGATTAAACGGTGGATGGTCAGGCTTCTCTCAACTCCATCCGCCCGAATAGTGAACCTTCTGCCCGGAACCACCTCCTCTCCATTCCTCAGCCACTGGACATCTGCTTTTGGCTTGCACACCTCACAGCGAAGGGTCACCATACCGTCTGCATGGGCCACAGTGTCTCGTAGTGGCATCACAAACTTTATCCTCTTTTCTTTAATACAGAAAAAAACAAGTTATCATGTTGTTCCAGACCATACTTTAGTGCTCAACAATTTTATCGAATGACAACTTGAAATGAAAATGTTGACCTTTCACCAGCAGGCCGAAGCGGATCTGGTCTGTGTTGACGTCACATGTATACTCGCCAGCATCAGAGCGTCTCAAAGGATTGATTGTTAGGGTGCGCTTATGGCCCTCCACGAGAGCTTGGGTACGTTCACCTTCAACAGGCGTCCAGTCTTTCATCCAACGTACCATGGCGTTTTCCTTGGAAACGTAGCTTTCCAAAGTCACGCTCTCTGCTTCGTAACCTGTCACTACAATGTCATCCTCCTTGTTCACAAACGTAACTGGAGGTTCTTTAATAGAATAGGAAACAGAGTCATTTCTAAGAAAACCATACAATCCTATTGATAATCTATATCTCTGGAGACATCACTGAGTGTTTACCTTGAATCTTGACAACGTTGATCATCTTATCGTCCCCAGCATCACACACGTATTTCCCAGAGTCTGAGGGTTGAACATTTGAGATGATAATTTTCCTCAGAGTGCCATAGCTCTCAATGTAGGTCCGGGAGTCACTGGTTAGCAACTTCTCATTACAGAACCACTGGACGGGGGCGTTGGCACGGGACACTTCACAGGCCAGGATCAGTTCATCGCCTGCCACCATCTCCTGGTTGTCAGAGTCATTTGAGTTGCCAGTTATTGTCACTGGCGGCTCTAAGGAGAAGAGAAGAAGACAGATGATAAGTGGAAGGAGTTATTTCTAAACCAAATCATAAGCAAATTCACTTAACTAACTCTACCTTCTACTATAACATGGTAGCTGATATTGTCATCTCCGACATCCAGGAAGTACTCTCCCGAGTCTCCAAGTTCAGCGGCGAGGATGACCAATGAGCGGAAAGCCCCTTCTTCCTCTTGGCAGAACCTTTCATCGTCCTCAACACGACAGTTGTCCTTGTACCATTTGCTGACAGCATTGGCTCTGGAGAGCTCACACTCCAGCACAATGTCATCAGAAATCAGAGATTTCAGATTTATCTTAATCTCTGACTTTCTTAGGATCTTCACTGGTGGCTCTGATAATGCAAAATTACATATTTAGAGTCAACATGACATTTTGGTGTGCTCTAAAGTTGCATTTTGGGACAGAAATCATCTCCAAAACATGGCCTCTTACCTGAAACTTTAACCTCAAAATCTATTTTATCCTCAGCAGCGTCACAGGTGTATTTCCCAGAATCCTCTGGGGTGGCAGAGTGGATCGTCAGACGATGGATGAGCCCTTCCTCAGTGATTGCAATGTTACTGCTCTCCTCTACTTCTCTGCCATTTAGCCACCACTTCACTTCGGCACCAGGCCGGGACACTACGATCTCCAGGACGATTGGTTTGCCAGCAAAACTCTCCAGTTTCTCCGGCGTGTTTTCTGGACGAGTAAGAGTTACTGGGGGCTCTAAATGAAAAGTCGGATTCAAATAATTTAATAGGAAAGAGTCATAACGTGATATTATTCCCTTCAAAATATTTAGACGCTCTGAAAAGTCACACTTATTTCTTTCATTCTTACCGTCAATAGTGACCAGGAAGGACACAGAGTCATCTTCAGTGTCACAAATGTACTCCCCTGCGTCATCCACAGATGTAAAGGGTATAACAAGCCGGCGATGGGCCCCATCCACCTCCAGGATCAGGTTAGGACTCTCCTCTACCTCCATGCTGTCTTTGTACCAGCGGACCGGGGCATCCGCCTGAGAGATCTCACAGCTGAGCTCCATCCTCTCGGATGCCGAATGTGTCAGTTCCACCTCTGGTTCACTTGGGGAAATGATTCTTACCAGGGGCTCTGATGCATGAAGAGGATAGTTAAATGTAATTATTTGAAATACTTTAAAATGGCACATTCCTGTATTAGATGTATAGTATATCATAAAAAGGCACAAAGACAAATCTCTGTCTTACCCTTGACATTAAGTTGGAAAAAGACAGAGTCTCCATCTGTTTCACAAACATACTCTCCGCCATCGCCCACTGAGCCGTTGAGGATGGTCAGCCTCCTGTAAGGACCTTCAGATATCAGCTTTACATTGTCACTTTCATCCATCTCCTGGCCATCCTTATACCAGCGCACCTTCCCACTGGAGCGAGACAACTCGCACTGCAGGTTGACCTCCTCTGAGATGTAGCTCTCCATCACAATATCATCCTTAGGTTCCACAATCATCACTGGAGGCTCTGTTTGAAGTTTGAGGAAACCAAGGGAGGTCAGATTTATAATGCAGCTTATGTTAATATCCATAAAGAGAGATGATTTGGACTGTATTGCATATAGATATTTTTTGAAACACTCTTCGGAACAACGAGATGAGATGTCCCTGTACCTCTAACATTGACGGTAAAGTCCATGCTATTGTTTCCTGTCTGGCAGGTGTAGCTGCCAGCATCTGAAGTTTCTGCAGAGCGGATGATCAGCCTCCTCATGGTTCCCTCTGCCTGCAGAGTGATGTTTTCAGTGGGCTGGATCTCACAGCCATCCTTATACCTGGGACACACAATATCACACACAGACTTCTGTAAAACACATGGTGACCAAATAATACTTTATTATAAAATACAAAACTGTATATCAAGTCCAGTAATTAGTGTTACTATATGGGAACAACAACACACAACATAAGTGATTCCTCATTTTCCTACCACACGACTTCGGCATCATCTTGGGAGACATTGCATAGCAGCACTACGGGGTCCAGCTCCATGCTGCTCTTATGAAGATCCTCTTTTGGGATCGGACTGAACTCCACAGAAGGACCTGAGCAAACACGGGGAGAAAAGCATATGGATTTTTGTTTATTTACATGATGCAGATAAGTAACTTATAAAAATATAAAATAGGAACTGAAATGTATCAACTATTCAAAAAATGTTTTACCTGCAACGTCCACATTGAATGTAATGACATCTCCAGAAGTTTCACATGTATAAACTCCAGAGCGGGACGCATCAGCTGATTGAATCACAATCCTCCTCATGTTCCCATCTGATTGGATGTTAAGGCCGTCTGTCACTTGGAGCTCCTGGCCATCTTTAAACCAGCAGACTTTTGCGAAAGGGTGGGAGACTTCACAGTAGAGTACAATGGCGTCACCAGTTTCCACCCTCTTATTGCTGTCCACGTTTGACTGTGGACTGAATTTGATCACAGCAGCTATAAAGAAAAAAAGAAAAAATTGAAGAAACTCCAAGAAATACATAAATCCCAGACGTTTAAAGAAGCTTTTAATTTCACAGAAATACCAGATGTTACACCTACGTATAACTTTGAGCACAGCTGAATCCCGGACTCCATTGGCTATGAACGTGACCTCTGCCGAGTCTTCTGCGGTGCGAGTTTCACAGATTACCAATGAGTGCCGCGTTTGGGACTGTTGTAATGAAAACCGTCCGCCATGCTGCAGTTGAGCGCTGTTCAAAAACCAAGTTCCAACCATTGGTGCAGACAGTTCGATGGAGAACTTAGCTTCTTCTCCTTCCAGAACCTCACAACCTTTGAGCCTGCTGCAGATCTTTGGCCCAGGAACTGAGGAAAAAAACGTAATGACAAGCAAACAAATGATTCAGTTTTGTTGTGTCATCATCACTTTTCACGTAGCCATTGGTTTCCATCATTTGCAATAAAACGTTACCTTTTGGAAAGCTTCAACTTACATTTCTGAATTGAATCAAGTTTACAATTAAATACAAAGAATAATGTATAAATGTATTTTACAGTAGATTCCTCACCTATATGGACAACTTTGGGAAACTCCACATGGCCGCTTCGCCCGTACTTGTTGATGCAACAGAGCCGGAACCGGTAGTCGCCCTCGCACGGAACGCTGTCGCTGGTGATATCCGCTGAAGTGGCGCTCTCTGAGGTGAAACACTTATGCCATTCTTGGGAGCCCACTGCCTGTCTCTCCACGACAAAAATGGATCGGGTGGAGGTCTGGCTGTTGGGAGCAGTAACCCAGGTGAGAAGAGCGCCGTTGAGTCCATCCACATTCATTTTGGCTTCCACGGGGCAGATAGGAGGAAGATGTCTTGTTGCTAAAAGAGAGAAAATAATATAATGAGTCTGTTTTAAGACGCAAATCTTAAAATATTTCAATTCATTTCCCAAATGTACCTTTGACTTTGAGACGCGATGAAGTCTTGGATCTCCCTGAGACAAAAGTAACTACCCCTGTATCTTGATAGGCCACGTTGACAAAGACCAGAATGTGCGTTCTGCCAAATGACTTCAGGATGGTCTGCTGAGTCTCGTGAAGCATCAAGCCGTCTTTGAACCAGAGGATCTCCATATCATCGTGCTCCACCTCCACGCAGAACACAGCGTTCTCCCCCTCCAGGACCTCCAGCTTCCGGGGAAGTTTACGAACAATAGAACCTGTAAAGTAGATACATTAAACTCCTGGCTGCTTGGAAATGTTCTAACTCATCCTGTCTTATTTCCCTTTATTATTAACCTTTGATCCACAAATGTTGAATACTGCATACCCTCATTCAATAAAACAAACCTTTAACTGATAGCTCTGCGATGCTCTTCCCTCCATCCGGCATCTCACAGAGGTAAACTCCATCGTCGTCCATCCCAACATCCTGGATGGTCAGTCTTCGTGTGGTTCCTTTCTGCTCCATCCCGTATTTATTGCTGGGCATCAGCCGCCGGTCCTCCAGGTACCAGGCAGAGGGGAGCGACTCATCAGGTACCTCACACTCCAGCACGGCAACTTCCCTCTCCTGTACCTCCACGTCTCTTAATGGACGCCTGAACCGCACAACCGGACCTAAGGACCAAAGGGAATGGCTGAGTTGAGATGTTTTAAGGAACAAAAATGAGTGGATGAGTTCTAGATTTTTGATAATTTTAGTAATAGTAACAACATTACATATTTTCAGTAACATGTAATAAGGTGCATGGGGATTATGAGAACAAAAGCTGTTTCTGAGAACCATTTTTCCATTGTAGTAAAACCTCTTTCCAACCACTTGACTGTCGAATGCCTTTGCTGAACACGTTTCTAAGCCGCGTTCAGTTGCTGTAATGGCACTCTACATTATCTACACATTAAAGACTGGCATGTTGACCCGACGACTTAGCTGACACTTGTGATAGAGGCAGCTGGCACGACGCAGGGTTGTGCGTATGAAAAGGCATGTGACCCCGAGAATTATCTGCCCATTATCAAGGGATGAGAACAAAATAATTAGCCACTTTAAAAGTGATTCCATGCATTTCAACAATGCTCACAAAGCAATTAGCCCTCACAAGTGCTGCTTGTGGTTGGATGCATTAGCAGCCACAATGATTCATGCATTTGGGCCATTAGCTGTTAGTAAAATATTGACTAACGATGGCATAGAATCTCTGGAAAATGTGTGTTGGTATATATATGCTCTCTGCTGTTATTTGGCAAGAATGAAGATTATCTAACAGTCTTTTGGCATTTTGAACAGCTCTATACTATTTTATATTTGATCTACCGGTTAGAATTGCAGGAAAAGCATCTCCTACCTTTGACTGACAGGTGAACAGCGCTGAGGGTGTTTCCAAGCGCGTTTGAAGCTGCACACACATACAGTCCTGTATCTTGCACTTTGCAGTACAGAACCTTCAGCGTGTAGTAACCCTCTCTGTCCTCAAATATCAGATGGCGCCTCCCGGGTAGTAGTGGAATCCCATCTTTCTTCCAAATGATCTCCGGCTTTGGCTTCCCTGTCACAAAGCAGCGGAACTTGGCGTGTTTACCCTCTGCCACGGCAAACTTCTTGGCTTTAGACACCCTGACAGGTGGCTCCTCTATGACCCTCGACAGACTGAGCCTCCCGCTTCTTTGCTTCGGCGACCACTGGCTGTTAGTTTGACCGTTCGAGGACATTTTACTCTCCTCTCGCTCCGGTACGGGCTCAACAAGAAGGACGGCACCGACCAAGGCCTCGCCATTGCGGTTGACGGCCCTGCAGGTGTAGACTCCTTTGTCCGGCATGCGCGTCCTGTAGATCTTGAGCTGGAACCAGTTGCCATCTTGATTGCTTATATTATAGTGTGCACTCTCAAATATATCATTCAGCTTCTTCCCGTCTTTCTCCCACGTCACCTCAGGCAGAGGCGTGCCCCAGATTTTGCAGGAGAAGGCAGCATCTTCTCCGCGGTCCACGCGCAAAGAGAGGGGCTTGATGAGGAATCGCGGTTTATCGTCAGACGTTAAATCAACCTCCTCTTGTTGTTTCCTGTGTTCACCATTATTCACCGTGCTGTATCCATTCTGATGTCCTTCAAATCCTCCATTTTCCTTCATTGGTGGCTGCATACCATTGACCTGCTGGGCCTCTCCCTCCACTTTTAGAGAGGCTGCTGCACATGTTTCACCTACGCTATTTATGGCCTTGCAAATATACTGGCCAGCATCCTGCAGAGTTACTCCAGTAACGGTTAGTGAGTAAGCTTTCCCCTCCTCAGAAAGCTTGTAGCGTCCCTCAGACAAGATTTGGATGTTTTTACGCTCCCAGATCACATCAGGACGAGGGTCACCACCAATTTGGCACCTCAGGGTTGCGTCTGTGCCACACTGTACCAGCACAGGGCGTGGGTAGCCCAGAACTCGAGGAGCACCTCCGAAAATATCCATGATAAGGTCACCCTACTTCTGGTTTGAATGAAGACGTTTCTTTTGCTGTGGGATCACCTCAATAAGAGCCTCTTATCTTTTGTGGAGGAGCTGTAAAATAGAGAAAATGTTTATTAAATCAAGCACAAACCTTTATTGGCAATTTAAATGACTACATTTTGAACCTGAACCTAACCTTAACCAGATGATTGCATATCAATTGTGAGATATCTTTGAGAAAAATCTTGAGGGTGTTGATAAAGGACTATTTTATTAACTTAAATCCGATTAAGATACTGTAGAGCAAGAGAGTGTTTTTAAGAGTTTCACGCATTTGAAATACTTAATGAAGTTAGCAAGGCTTACCTGGGGTTTAGTCAGTTTAGTTTTGCTTGTTGGTTTAATAAAGGCGTTTTTGGCAAACATAAACCACTCACATTTCTCAGCTGGTGCTGTAACTCATTGAAGTGTGTATTTATAAAGTAGTCTGTCCAAAAAAAGCAGCAGTGGCCATGTGTCACATAGCCTACAAACTGTGCAGTGTGCAGCCACTAACTAAGACAAAACTGACCCATTAGTGTAGTAGGAATCAAGCATGACAGTATCCTTTCTGATTTTTGCTTTGTTGACATTTAGCTTCATTCCCTTGTTAAAGCTACACTATTTCTGTATTACCTCTATTGCATTCTAACAGCCTATGGTTTTATCATGTAGCAGTCAATAACATCAGTCTCTCTTGTGAGTCCCATTTGTGTCCCTTATGTTGTCATCATCTATATTTTGGCTGCTGTAAAGTATGACTCAACACACAACTGATGCACATCATCATGTGCTAATGTCTTGGCTAAAAAGAGAGCTCTTAGTAGTACTACAGATATTCTGACAAGTCTGAATGATCAATACAGATATGAAACAGGCCTAAATACTCATTGAGCATTGTGTTGGAAGTGATTATACTTAACTGGTCCTCATGTCAAGAAGCAGTGTGTATAGAGACATATACAGTGACAGTACAGCTTGTAAAAGTTACTAGAAAACTCACAGGATAAACGTACCTCTATAAGGGTTGCCGTCCTTAAAGCATTCTGTCTCTGATGTGAGGTCTATCTGAAAATGTTGTTCTCGAGACGTTCACGCTGGCTTCTGTTCATTCATGTGTCCTTTTTTTAAATGATTCTTAGTTGGTAGAAATGGTAGCTTTCCTTCTGTTGCTCTGACGTGAAGCTCTGCGAGTCTCCTCAGCTCTTGTTCCTTGTGTCTCTGGTTTGTTGTTTGTGGATCAGGCTCACATTTAGCACACCTCCTGGTCACTGAGAGTCATAGCAAGCGATGAAAAATAACTCTTCCATTCACACTCGATGTCTAGGAGTCAGATAGTGACCGCAGTCTTTCAGCCGAGTGCTCGGTTGGTGCGTCAGCTCTGATACTGTCATTGTCCAACCGCTAAAGAGTGAGAGAGAGAGTTGGAATTGGGGGTGGGCATTAAATGCTTTCGCAGCTGCTGCCACTCCAGACCAACACCTAAAAATACCGGCAGCTTCGATGACAGTGGGCCGGATAAAGTCAGGCTGTCCACTCACAGAGCGGGCTCACTAAAGATAGAGGGGAGGCCGAGCTCTGCCATGGATCACTCAGCTCAACAGATATCCCCTGATAAGCCTAGAAGGAGAAGGACACCCCTACTGCTGGAGCTCCTTCAGTCATGACTCATGCGGACCTAAAAGTGTGTAAGAAGCAGAAAAGTTTGATATAAAGTAGGGATCTAAAGAATTAACATACAACTGAAAAAAGGAATAAAAGCTTGCACCTGTAGGGATAGAAAAAAGTGAAAATGTTGTCACTAAATAATGATACAGGGTTATTAGGGCAGATTCATTACCAATCCAAGTATAATCAAGATCAGACGGGCAGTTATTAATTAAGATGTCCCTAAATATGGTGTGTAATCTGACCATTCTATATTGCAGCTATAACAATATTCTACTTTAATGAGACCTGTTCAGATTTGGTCAATTGCTGTGAAACCTTAAGATATCTGGATGCCTGTAGTGCATTCAAGTTAATTGGACAAGGCTAGGAATTAGATGATATGACACATGACGAATATCAGCCACCTCTCTAAATTGTGCCAAACAATATATGAGACTTCGGTGGATAGGATAGATGGATAGGGATAGGAAGCCCAAAAATAAAGAAATAGACGTGATGTTGGATTTGTCTTTCCTCCCACAAGTACCTGTTCTTTCCTCGTTAACAAAAGGCTTCACCATGACAGTTTAGTATCCGGTGCAGACACTTGTCGCCTGCATTCTCAGACGATAACTCTCTAGGCTTGCTCTCAAGTGGAGTGTTTTGGATGGCTAAAGCCGCTGATACACACTTTAAACTTGTCGTCATGGATATGTGACTTTCAGTGACGGCCACATACCTTTGTGGCAGTTGCTGGCTTTAACGTTCTTGGCATACCTTCTCACACGCAGATGTTTGAGTAGTTTTTGGCACCGCTGATAAGTATGTCTCACTAAGGCATCTCTCTTTTCGTAATTTTAAGGATATGGCTACTTGAACAGCAGCTGGGTGATAAAGGAAGTTAAAGAAAGCGATGTTTCACTTCACTTCAATAGACACATTCATTTCTAAAAGCATTTCAATAGACCACAGAGGCCAACGGGCATAGGATTTTCAGAAGGTGAAATTCTTGCCCTGGTCAGTAAACAATTTGCTAAATGATTGGAGAGTCATTTGGATGACTCACACCACACGTGACTCTATTTAGGTCTGTCACTACCTCTGACATTCTCCTCCACACAGTCATCCCTGCAGCTGTTGAATACAATGTTCTCCTGGAATCAAAAGCACCGGGTAGCTCTTTGTCCTGAGATTGGGTTTCAATATCAAAAGCTTAAGAGGATTGAGACCTCTTAACAGTATGTCAATCAACCCAGTTCGTAGAAGACGATTCTTTCATGCCAATCATCATGTTTCATCAGAAGGTATGTAGAATTCCCACACTGATACTGACACAGGTGTAACCGTCTTGCACAAAATAGTCCACTAGATGGAGCTAGAGATGTATTTTAAGAGGAAAATCATTTGAACTGAGATGAGATAAGATCAAGCAACACTCCGCAGAATTGAAAGGAAATGGATTAAGGAAGTTTACTCCTTGAGAGACACAGTTCTGACCTCCCCTAATGTATGATGGCAAGTCAAATATCATCATCAGTACAGCATCAAATTGAATTCCATGATATATAAGTGCTCACATTGAATGATAAACTGTGTGACCAATTCCAGACAAAGTCATAAACGGAATTTAGTTGGAAATCTGAAATATAGACGACAAAAGTCAGATGGTATTCTTTCAAAAGTGTTGTCTCAGTGTAAAACTGAAAACCTTAACTCCATGCTCGTGGGGAGAAGAGGACAATGTGCAGAAAAGTGTGGCTTTTTAATTGGAAGTCTGTGAAAGCATTTGGTACGAGGATAAAGCTGTTCAGGACCCTAGAGAGTAGAAGAAGCGTGTTGAAGCGCACGTACACACTTTAGTGCAGACCCCCCTCCCTCTGTTAAACGTGAATGAATGTATACTGGGAAGAGACACACTGAGGTGGTACATGATGGAGATGTGCAGAGTGGGAAAAGAGACATCAAACATTTGTGTCAGGTTGACCTCTGACATTATAAGCTCCTCCTTCCTCTCCCTGCAACCTGCGAGCATGCTGGGAGAAACAACAAGGGATTCTGGGAAAGACAGGAGGAGGGCTTTTCTTAAATATAAACAACATCTGTGTGTATGTGTGCGAGCCATCCATGTATTAGAGCTCAAATTATTATTATTAGATTTTTTTTTTCTCCTGAGAATAATTTTAGCTCAGATTCACATTTGACCCATATCGGGTTATGATGCAGGCTGTATACATTTTTTTAAATGATTGATTGGAAATACAGTTTCCTTATTCAGCCATTCTTTGGGAAACTAACATGTTCTATACCATGGGATATTATAGCAGTTGCAACAACAAAAAACAATCTGTCAATGAAAGTTTAACACATTAAACTGAAGACTAAACAATCCCGCCTTTTTAACTATTACCAACACTTTTTTTATTGAGTCAGGCACAATGAGTTACATTTATACAGTCTATATTTTTCCTCCCCCCCCCTCCCTCCCGGTCCTAGCAGGTAAAGTAAATAAATAAATACATATATAGGTAAAAATAAAGTAATGTAAAAGAAAATTCTAAAAAAATTAATAGATAAGGAAATAAAGAATAATAACAATAATCCATGTACCCATATACTCACACATGTATACCCACATATACACATACACATATATATATATGTACATACCTACCCCCATACCAACACATACACATATATACACATACATACATACATACCCACACATTTACATACAGATATTCAAACACACATACATACACATACACACATGTATATAAAAAACTAAAAAACATACATTCATAGTCCCCCCTTTCTTTCTAACTTAGTGTCTTAAGTTCAGCTATGTAGGCTATCACAGAGCCCCAGACAGATTCAAACATTTCTGAAGAGCCCCTCAGGTTATATTTAATCTTCTCCAAGTTCAGGTATAACATAAGATCTTTAAGCCATAGAGATGCTTTAGGTGCTATTGAGGATTTCCATTCAAGGAGTATTATTCTACGTATTACCAATACTTTCATACATTTTAAGTTTAATCCAGAAATTGATAACAGGAGTTGAAAACACCTCAAGGTCAATCTCAAAGTTTCTGAGGTGAAGAAAGTTTATTTTTTCCCCAAATCCTACATAATACACACATCTAGGAATGGCTTTGGTGCAGTGCCACAAACACACACATCGTTTTTCCTATGAATATTTCATTAACATAAATGTGTAATAATGCTAAGTCAGCCTTTATCCTCTGACCTCATGGAGATCAAACGTGTGACCTTCAGTCTCTGTCATTCCGACCTCTAGCCAGCCCTTCTCGTATTCCCATCTCAAATTACCTGCATGGTTCCAGATGTCACGTTCCCATGGTGCGAACTGCAATGCTTTTAAAATAATAAATCCTATAATCTTTTCAATATTACAGTTTTGTACTTACGTCTTCTTGCATCAGTATAAGAGCTATAAATTCAAAAGCAGATTTATTCTTGCGCACATTTAATCAAAAGTCACTCTTGAGAGTTAAGATCTTTTAGCTCCACTGAAGCTTTCCACAGTTTGTATTTTGTGTAAACTCGGACCTGTATTTTGTGTTCTGCTGCGTACAGCTGATACACTCCGCTCTGAGGATTTGGCCTTTAAGTCAGCTCCTTATTGTACTTTAATAATGACAGTCAGATGTTGTATTGCAGATAGCATTACTTTCATGATCAGAAGCAGATGTAGAGCAACCTGAAAGAAAAGGTCTCTCTGATGAGAAAACGGACACTCATAGCTGATAGAGGGCAGAGGAGCACTGCACTGCAACTTCTCTTATCACTGTTTGGAGTCATTAAGGTTTCAAAATGTATATTTCTTATCTGCAATTTATGTGTGTGGTAGAAAATAATAATAATAATAATAATAATAAATTGAATTTATATAGCGCTTTTCATAGTCTCAAAGTCACTTAAAATCTACTGGTCTTTAACTTTGAAGTGAATTGACCCAAAGAGTCTGGACTGGCTAATATAGCATATTCCTAAGAACTAAGAGCTACTCAACCCCCTTCCGCACAATATGATTGGTTGATGCCTTTATTCTTATTTTATGGCAAAACCTCAGAAAAATCAACTTTGTTCTGGAAAACTGCTTTTTTGTCGTGTAATATTCACATTCTGTATGAAATTACTTATGACAAAAAAAAAGGTTTGAAAAATGTACTGTCGTTATCACACCACAAAACGCCCAAAGTGTGTGAAGGCCTTGATACATGCCTTAAAGTGAAAGTACTAATACCATAACGTCATACAGTAGGCTTCAATATATGCACTTTGTTTACTCCCTGTTTGTAAATCAATTACATTACTGTCCTTAATCGATTCAATCACTTAAATGTAGAACACTGTTGGAAAAGGCTGCGGTCCACTGAGGACAATCCTTACGTCACTGGAGGTCAGTGTCCCTGAACGCAGCAGAGATGAGCGATTTACAGCGATAGTGATGTTAAAACGGGCTTTAGCGGATGTGTGTGGATGTAAATCACATACGATCATCAAACGCACACTCAGAAGGACGTGATGACAGATGTGAGGAGAGGAGTAGATGCCGTCACATCACTGGGTCGCCACTGGCAACCATCTGCCGTACCTACTGGCCTTTCACGCTCTTACTTCCTCTCTCCTCGATTTGTTGCATATTTTCCCTTTGAGAGGGTGGCAAACACGTTTCTTTGTAGATTTTCAAACAA